TGGTCCTTATATCCGTGGAATTATTGGGAAAACATTCTAGAAAGATATGAAATACTGAAACTGAACAGAGAAGAAACAGAAAATCTAAACAGATCTATCACAAGCAAAAATAATAGTAATTAAAAATGATTATAAAAAGTTAAGCCTAGGTCCAGGTGTCTCAGTGGTGAATTGTACCAAACCATTAAAGAAGAAACAAAAGGTATCTTTTACACACTGTCCAAAAATACAGGAGAGCTTTTCCAACTCATTCCACAAAGTTAGTATTATCCTAATACATCATAAGAAATATATAATATATCATAAGGAAACAGCAAACTAATATTTTTCATTAATATAGACACAAAAAATCCACCCAAAATATTGACAGTACAGATCTAGGAACATATAAAAAAGGACTATATACTATAATCAAAGAGGATTTATTCCAAGAATGGAAAGTTGGTTTAACGTGAATTCATTGTAATACACTGGATTATATGAGCTTGCTTGATTGTGGAAATCATTACATAAGTAACAATTATATCAAAACATCATGTTGTACACCTTAAATATGTACAACTTTTAATTTGTCAACCATCACTCAGTAAAGCTGGGGGGAAAATCCCCAATAAAACAGTGTGGTAAGGATACAAGGTGGGCACAGAATAACCAAAAAGAATTGAGAATCCAAAATCAAACCCTGACATATATGGTTAATTTTTTTGTGTGTGGGGGGATTGGTGGGGATCAAACCCAGGGCCTTGCACATCAATTTTTTTAAAAAATAAGGGTGCCAAGATAATTCAATGGGGCAAAGAGTAGTTTTTTCAATAAATAGCGCTAGAACAACTGAATAAGTACATGTCAAAGAATGAAGCTGGCCCTCTACCTCACATATCAAAATTAACTCCAAATGGATCAAAGTCATAAAATTGAGAGCTAAAACAATAAAACTCTTATGAACATAGAAGTAAGTCTTTATGAGCTTGCGTTAAGCAAAGGTTTTTTAGGTACAACATTAAAGGCACAAGTGATAAAAGAAAAAAGAGATTAACTGGATTTTATCACAATTGAAAAGTTGTTTCTTCAAAGGATACTATCAGTAAAGGGGAAAGTTAACCTACAGATTAGGAGAAAATATTTGTAATCATATTCATATATCTGATTAAGGACTTTGATCCAGATTATATAAAGACTATTTACAACCCAACACTAAGATGACAAATAGTCCAATTTAAAAATAAGCAAAACATTTGAAAGACATTTTTCAAAGAAGATATGTGAAATGGCCAATAAGTGCATGAAAAATGCTCAATATTACAAGTCATTAGCAAAATGTAATATAATGAGATACCACTTCACTTCCACCAGAATGACCATGATAAAAAGACTACAAGAAGTGTTGTTGAGGATCTGAGGAAATTGGAACTCTCATACTCTACTAGTAGAAATATAAAATAGTGGTGCCTCACGTTGGAAAGCAGTTGCAATATTCTTCATAAAGTTTTTGGTATATGATTCACCAATTGCACTCCTAGGTATAAACCCAAGAGAACTGAAAACACATATTTACACAAAAACTTGTACACATCTTCATAGCTATAATAGCCATATATTTAGCCATAACAGCCAAATACTGAAAGCAATCCTAATATCTGTCAACTGATGAATACATAAAGAAAACATGTCATCAATTATTATTTGTCAATAAAAAGAAGTGAAGCAATATTACATACTACAACATGAATAAACCTCAAAAACATTATGCTAAGTGAAAGATCCCAGATGTAAAATGACCATATATGTATAATCCCATTTTAATAAAATTTCCAGAGAAGGTAAATCTATAGAAAAGAACAGTCTGTAAGTGATTGGGTGGGGCTGGAGATAGCAAAAGGGAATTGTCTCCAAATGGGCACAAATTATCTTTTTAGGGTAACAGAAACTTTCTAAAATTGGCACATGGCACTGATTGTACAATTATAAAAATTTTAAAAAACAATCATTGAGTTCTATCTTTAAAATAAGTGAATTTTATGGGTATAGGAATTATACATCACAAAAGCTGTTAAAAATGGCTATGAAACCACGATGTCTTATATGTAATTCTGGTTTTTACACATTTTACAACTATAAGACTTTTATAAGATAGAGCAACCCTGATAATATGGCAGAGGCCTTAACAATCTTTAGAATCAATCTTATGTTAATATCATTACTGTACAAATAGATGGATCACTTGACATCAGTGCCTGACATCTAAATCAGCCTTAATAAATGCTTACTAATGAACAATTAAATCATCCTTATAGTGTGATTTTTCTCCCCAAATATCTCACTTATTTGATACCTAAAACATTTGATTAGGGCATTTCCCCTCTAACTTAAGAAAAAATGAAATGCCAAAATCTTCAGGGGAAGTCCTGTTTATAAGTGGAGGTAGTCCAGATTGGGTATGCTAGTTAAGGTAGTGTATTAACTTTTTAATGCTTCAGGTTAATTTGGTTGAGGATTGGAGATGGAAATCTCTGCTCTACAGACTCAATCAGAGACCCAGGCTGACCAAAGCTCAACTACACATCATGAGGAGTCATGACAGAATATGAGAACTATTGGAAATTATATATGGGCTTTTTGGTGCCACTGCCCAGAAATGGTCTTTGATTTATCTTGCTTTCCCAATATTGAGCATGGTGTCTGGTACATCACAGCAGCTCACTGAGTGGTTGTTGTTGGTGTGTGTGTGTGTATGTTGTAGTTGGATACAATACCTTTATTTATTTATTTTTATGTGGTGCTGCGGATTGAACACAGGGCCTTGCAAGTGCTAGGGGAGCACTCTACTGCTGAGCCACAACCACAGCCCACTGAGTGGGTGCTTTGTCTGAATCACAATGCCTCCTGTGGTGATCTTCAAGTTATAAGGTTTTGCTGGTACAAGTGCCTTCTTAAGCAGAATCAAGGAAACACAATTAAAAGACAGATTTGCTGGCATATCCTGACTACTCAGGAGGTTTAGGCAGGAGGATTTCAAGTCTGAGGCCAGCCTGGACAATTTAGCAAGACATGTTTCAAAATAAAAAGTACTTGGGATGTAGCAGCAGTAGAGTACTTGCCTAACACGCAAAACGCCCTTGGTTTGATTCTCAGTACTGCAAAACTGAACAAACCACAAGTAAATTCTGTGAGGTAAGAAGAAAGAATACATTCCATGTGAACAAATGTGTGTTCATATTCCATGTGAACAAAGATCACCTTTACTGTCCTAATTAGACCACAACCACCACTACATATGATAAGTTACTTATAGTGCTAAACTAGAAAAAAACTCAATGCTTTACAGGATTACAAAGAAATGTATCAACAACACAGGGAAGATAATTGGATTAAAATGCCTTAAGAAGTTTAGTAACCATTTTGTATATCAATACTTGTATCACTGAGCCCTCTGGCCTTTGGTATCTACCCCCAAGCCACCTTAAATTGCACTGCCAGTTTTATCATGTTCCAATATTCCTTTCCTAAGGTATCCCTCCCATTAAAAAATCCAAGACCAAACTCCTTAATCCTGGCAATTTTGGCTCTTTGTGTAACTTCTTGTGCTTTTCAAAAAATCATTATTTTAACCAAGCTTTCCAAATCACACTTATTCTCCAGTCAACCTACTCTTTCTTAAGCTATGCATATTTGCTGACTTATCACCTACTACATGGAATGCCACTTTTTTTTTTTTTAAATCTTCTGAAAATTTGCCAATTACTTGAATTGATACCATATTGCAAAGCTCTCCCTAAATAATTCTGCTCATGTTGATCTGAGATCCTGAAGCACCTGTGATTTACAACAGTCATTCGGGCATTGAGAACGGTCCAGAACATTATTAAATGTTCTGAGGCTCATTTTTTCTACAGTTTTGGTATAAGCTTCTGGAGGATTTTTGTGTAAAAGTAAAAATCCATCCGTTATCATGAATCTACCCAAATTATGAGACTTATTGATAATATTGGAATAATCACAGACAACAAAATAGATTAACAATAGAGAAAACAATTTTTTTAAAAAAAATCAATGTTTGTTTCTTAGTTTTCTTTTTTAAAAAAACAGAAATATTGTGGTTTCAAGTACATTAATTTAACATCTCATTCATCTTGTGTTTTATTATTTTATATTCGCTAATATGGACTAATAGTGGCCAATTAATATTTTTTGTTTATCAATATCTTCTTGAACTTTTATATTTTGGTTTTAATAAAAAACATCATTTCTAAAAATACAAATGCCAGATTTGTTTTGGAAATTTATCCTACATGAACTACCTTGACCATAGGCAGATGTGCCTGAATTTCATAGTTTATAAATACATGCAAAATTTGGGTCCAAAGCCAACTGTAATTTTCTATTATAACTTTTAATAGATGGATTTGTCTATTACACCAGATATACAAACACAAATAGCTATTTCACTTAAAAATTACAATATTATTGTCAACCCATATTTAAGCTAAAATAACAACAGAGCACAGTTTCTTAAAGTAGAAAATAATTTATAATTAATTTTGTCTTGGTTGCTTTACCTTTCAAACCCCCACTGATAATCTGGGGAAAATACTTTCCAACTTCTTCCTAAAGAGAAACACCCTCTGCAGACTGCATCCTGCCTCCCTTACATGCTGCCTGTATTTTCTCTGTTTTTCCTTTGATACTTCTTTAAAACACTGAAAAACCAGAAAATTCTCTTCAACTCTCAGATCTCCAGTTACATGTCGTAAAACCCTTTGTCAGTTTACCCAGTCAGATGAACAGAATCTCCGTTTCTTTTTCAATCGAATCACAGTTGTCTTGATAGCCTGATTTGCCAGTTTGGTTACGCTGTCTCCGTTTGGGATTCTTTGTAGAGATTACCACAAAAAGTCTAAAGTAGGGCAGTTCCAGACAAAATTGGAACAGTCTTTACCCCCGTAAAGCAACCCAATACCTCACAAAACTTCAGGCAGAAGAATGAATGATAGAGCATTCACCAATAGGGAGTGGAGAGGAGCATTTTGTCGAAGTTTGTAACCCAATCCTTGGAAGCCAGAGGTGGGAATTTTAAAATGGGTTTGTCTTTTCCTTGGAATTTTCTTAAAGTGGTATCGCTGCCGGTTGATGTTAAATTTTGTTGAAGACTACTGTAGAATCACTAGTTTAAATTAAAGTGTTCTCCCCCTTTAAGTAAGTCAAAAATATGTAAATTGACCCTCAAAAATTGAGAGATCTAAAGAATGGTCATAAAATACACTAATATCACATACTGACCTGGCCACTTTTGTGTCAGTTTGGGAAGGGGGTAAATGTTATTTTAACATGATTCATTTTTCATGATCAAATATAAGATGTTCAATTAATGTACCCCAAAACACAGTATTTCTTTTTTTAAAAAAAAGAAAACTAAGAAACTAACACTGATTTTTAAAAAATTGTTTTTCTATTATTCCTCTATTTTGCATGTGTGATTATTCCAATATTAGCAACAAGTGTCATTATTTGGGTTGATTCTTAATAACCGATAGATGTTTGCTTTTACACACTCTAGGTTTCCTCATTTTAAGTCCAGCAAAAAGTTTCTGAGGTATTATGAAACTCCATAAAAGGTTTTAGGAATACAGGTTATGTATGTACATGTCACATCAGTAACTCCGGAAGACCAGATTTAATTAATAATTGATAACATTTGATTGTAATTCATACCTTATTTTGGAACCAGTGTTATTTAGTATAACTCTGCTTTCTAGATAATTCATCTCTAAAAGTAATTAGCCAACATAAAACTAGTTCACTATAAAATTTAACGTTGACAATAAGCCTTTAGCAAGTTAACAGACCCAGCTTTACAAAGGACAAAGAATAAGTTCTAGAAGATTTTTTTTTAAGAAGGAAAGGTGCTATAGTTATGAACACAATATTTTTAAACACAAGTTTTTAATGTTCCCGAACAATGCACGTATTGAAAGACAAACAACAAAAACTCCCAAAGCCCTCTTCTTTTGATGTCTTCGTTGACATGAATTTTTCTCTTTAAGAAATATTTTTTGACATCCTACTTAGCCATGCTAGTAACTGTCATAATGTCTAAATTGTTACTATGCTTTTTGGCAACTGTTTCTCAAAATAGACCTTGAGTGAAGTGCAGACTACTTTCTCATCTTTGGAACCTATCTGTGAGCTCTTTAACCCAGGGCTTGGGCTCACTGTTCACTGACGAACCCTGCATGATATAAATCTATCAGTCTCAGTTTTAAACCCATTAGACTGGTATAATAACAGTACCTGTGTCATGGGATTACTGTTTAGACTTAAATGAGATAATCTGTGCACGGCTCTTAGAATGCCCCAAGGTACACAACAAGCGCTCCACGTCGCGGGTTTTGTCATCCCTCAACCTATGGATTGAATAACCAGTCCGAGCGCCTGAATGAATGTACAAACAAAAGAACAGGTCAACGACCAGCGGTTCCTGACGTTGGCGCTGGCTAAATTACTCTTTCAAGATAACTAAACAAAGAGTCGCTCTCTTCCATCCCCACGCGGGAGCCGGAAGCAAAAGTAGAGCCCCTGGCGGGACCAAGGGGAAGGAAGCAGTGCTCTCCGCCAATAGGAACATCGCTTGGAAAACGAGCCTATCGTTTCACCTATCGTGAAAACGCGAGAACTGAGACGAATTATCGCGAGGTCCTGTCCTCCTTTCCTCGGCTCCCTCTTCCCCAACTCCCAGTAGTGCGGGTTCCGCCCCGCCCCCGGGGCCCGCCGGCGCTGGCCATCCCGCCCCGCCCCTCCCCGCCCCGCCCCATCCGCCGTCCCTAGGCTTGCTGTCCAGCTCCGCCCGCGCTCGGGAGCGCTGGCTGTGCCGGCGCCGAGGTGAGTGCAGCTGTCCACCCTGTCTGGAGGTTCAAGTGTCAAGGTCCCTTGGCCGAGTCCCCGATGGGGACGCCCCATACCTGACCCGGCAAAAACGCCTGGCTGCAGCGAGTGGGACTGTGGACTGCCCCGGGCCTTGGGTCACCGAGGCTGCTGGGTCCTCCTCGCAGTCCGCAGTCGGGGGATCGGACAGTCCGCCTAACACCGGTCTGTGAAACCCCTGCCACTATGCTAGCTGCTGCCTAACTGTAACGATCTTAGTGCTTAATTGGGGCAAAACAGCATGTGTTTTGCATGAGACTAATGTTAGCATTTCTTAGTACTAAGAAAATAATCTTCTATAAATGCTTGATATACAGTTTATAATTCCCTAATCTCCAGTGCTAGGATATCGGAATGGGTATTCTACCGTGTAGAATAGGTATGGCGAAGTCAGCCTAAGGGACTCCTTTCCTGCTTAAAATGTGTGGGATTTTCTTAAAATGGGAGGGTTTTTGTTTGTTTGTTTAATAATAAAATTGGTGCTCATCTGTCAAAACTCAGGTGGAGGTGCAGCTGTATATAGTTAATACTAAATATACCATTTTCTTTAACTATAGGCAAGAGATAGTGAAGTAAAATAGAAAGAAAATTATGCTGTTATAGGCTCTGTTGCCAATGAATGCATATTGGAAAACCATGAGCACTGTTGACAGCTTTCAGATTGCATTTGTATAGACTATCTGCCAGTCTATCTTCGATGCAAAATAAAATGCATTTTATCAGGAGGTAATGATGGTTTTGAGGTAACCAATTCCAGCCAGAGCATTCAGAAGGAAAACCATCTGGTTAATTCTCTTATTGAATTTTCTATCAGTGAGTGTGGATATATTTTGCTTTATGAAGCAAAGACTTCATTTATGTAAGTTTTGCATACCACATAAATGATAGAAGAAGCACTAGTTACACTGAAGTGCATGAAAGGATGCCTTGTATGATGGTACACAGGCTTTGCAGTTTGCAGTTAGGCCACCTGCGTTGAAATTCTGGCAGGTTACTTTCTGAGAAACTCTGTTCTCATCTAGAAAATGGGCTAAGCAATGTTGCAATACATGGTTGTGAGGATTAGAGATCCTTATGGCATGCAGCAAGTTTATACAATCTGTAAATGGTTTTGAGGTGGGTAGATGAAAAATCAGCCTTCCAGTATTATTCCAAATATTCTAATTTCATCTGTTCATTAACTGTTTGAAACCTTGCTTTTAGATACTGTGCTAGTTGTGCAGGCATGAAGAAGCAGCAAAATCTCTGCCCTCTGGGTTTTACAGGCTCTTGGTAGATTAAGAGTAAACAGGTGCACCAGTAAATATATAGATTACAAATTGCACAGAATCCAATAAAGAAAAACAGCTGGGTTGCTTGAAAAGAATACCAGGGGAATACTTTAACTTGCAATAGGGAATTGGTTTTTATGTTGAAACTTGGAGGTTGATGGGGAAGTGCTTTCCAGACTTAGAGGATAGCAGAACAACAAGAACTCTCAGGAATTTGGTAGTTCCAGGAATTTGGGAAGCCAGGGAGAGTGCCGCAAATGAGGCTAGAGAAGTGTGTTGGGCCCAATGTCGAATAGCCCTGAAGACCTGGTAAGAGGGTGATTTTCTAAGTAAGAAACTTCTGAAGGGTTTATTTAGTAAGATGTGTGCTTGAGAGAGAATGAGAAGCAGTTGGGTTTGCGTCTTCAAAGTCTCACTGCTATGATTAATGTGTTGGAAATGATTGAAGTGGACTCAGACCAGTAATAAGAGTTGACTCAATGAGGATATGACAGTGTCTATGATTCTGGCAGATGGAGAGATGTAGATGGATTTGAAATATATTTTAGAAATGGAAACCATCAGCCTTATGATAGTGCAGAGATGTGGGGGAATAGGAGGATGGACTCATTTATAATGCCAGCTTTCTGGTCTGGGCTGCTGCATGGATAGAATTATGCTTTCTCCCCATTTACTAAGAGGGAAAAGACTTGGGAGGTTCAGACTGGTGGTGAAAATCTAAAACTCTCTGTGACTGTATTAAGTTGAGATGCTTGTGAGATATCTTAAATGTTTTCAGTTTACTTCAGGGAATAGTTACCTAGAAAGCTTCATTTTCCACAGTCTTTGATATTGTTATCTAGTTCCCCTGGCTTTATAGAGAATTAAGATATCTTAAGATTGAGGGTCTTGCACAAAATCACATAATCTCTCATAAAGTAGGTAAGTGAGTAGGTGGAACAAATATGGGGAAATATTGGATTATTATATTGCATTGGGAATGTTATTGAGAATTTCATATTCTTTGCTCTGGCAAGGGTTGTCCTATTAGCTAGGAATTAAATTTTGGGAATGATAGAAAATAATATGAAACTTACAAAACTCTGCTTATTGACAGCTTTGGCATTAATTCCTGGTGAAAAGTGAAAGGTGGTTTTTTGTTTGTTTTCTAGTAGGTAGTTTGGGAAAGGTACCAGAAAAACAGAGTAGAATCTTTGAACAAAACTCAGCTTCTTTATAATTGTTTAAGCATTTCCTTTGTATCTTGAGGAACCTTATAGATCAGTGTAAAGAGCCCAAGTTTTGAAATTCACTGAACCTGATCTTCATCCCTTGTAAACTGTTCCCTTGGACAAATTCTGGAAGCCCTCAATTTGTTTCATCTTGTATTCAGTGATGGTAAAGTTTGTTTCAGCCAGTGGATATGATGTCAAATGTTACTTTTCTTCCTGTCCTTGTCAATTTTGTAACCAGAAGAAAATTTAAAATAATTTGTCCAGGGGGCCTTTAAAGCAACACATTAATATATTAGTCAACTGAGGCCCAGAAAGATTATAATAGAATAATACAGTGCTACTGTGTCCTTTTGCAGTGTTGCTTCTTTCATTGAAAAGATGTAAAGTAATAAAACTGGGCACTAGAGGTGTTGCTTAATGATATAATGCTTGCCTAACATGCTTGAGGCTGGACTGCAAACAATAAATAAATAAAATTAATAAAACTTTGTAACCCTGAACGTGTTTCTTTGCTACTTCAGATAATCTGCAAAGCAAAAACAAACACAATCCAAAACAAAACCAGAATAAAGAGATAAAAGAAAGGAAAGTTAGGATACAGGAAAACATTCAGATACTGGAAGTAAAGAAAACAATGGTTAATGATCTATTAACATATGTGCTAATATTTTGACATATCTTAAAATAAATTCAAAATGAGATAGTTCAAGATGAATATGAGGTTAAACTGATCTATGTTCTCTTAGACAAGTATTCCTACCGCAAGTCCAAAAAAATGTTTTTTTCATTAGGACCATTTCTGATAAATAGTAAGTGTTGTTTAATCAGAGTATTTTATTATTTTAATTTTTCATTTTAATCTCCTAAATTTCAGTTGTTACAAAAGAAAATATAGGATAGAATGTATAATTCATCTTGTTAATGTCTGTACACATGTAGCTTTGTAAGTGAACAGGTTTATATGGTGATGCTTATAAAAAAGTCTTTTTTGTTGATGATGCTGGGGATGGAACTCAGGTCCTGGAACACATACTAGGCAAGCACTGTACCACAGATTTATACCTCCAGTCTTAGTAAGAGTCTTATAATGATTAAACTTTTTTGTTCTCTTTATAGAAATTGACCAATTTGGACAACATGTAGTGTTGCATTGTGCCTGATGGGATATGATCAATCATGGCATCCGAACTTTGTAAGACGATCACTGTGGCAAGGCTTGAAAAGCACAAGAATTTGTTCTTAAATTATAGGAATCTGCACCATTTTCCATTGGAGTTACTGAAAGATGAAGGACTGCAGTACTTGGAGAGACTCTATATGAAAAGGAACTCCCTTACCACCTTGGTATAGTATTATATTGCATTAAAAATATCATTTACAAATGTGGCCCTGACAGGGACATATTTTGTATATCCTAAGATATTCAGATCAGGATGAATATCCCCTCTTGCAGGTAATACACAAATGAGGGGTTATTGTTAGCTGTGAAATTATTATCCAAGTCACTGCAATTGTGAGGTTGCAGGAGGAGTTGTGTAGGAAAACAAAATATTCACTAAAATACCATTTTGAAAGTTAGTGCCCACTCCAAAACCTCACTTCAGTTAGCATGTACTCTATCCTGACTTTTGTTTTCTTTGTATGTTCAGTTTCCTGTGAGTTTTAGATATTGAGTGCATAGCAGACAATTTAAAAAGGAAACAAGAGAAAGACCAAAGAGGATAATTGAGTTATAGGCATTAAAAAGGGAATGATTTGAAGATGAAAACATTAAGTGAAACATTTAGAAAGATTAATGAAGCTTCAAGTGTTAAAAACAAAAACCAAAAAAACCTTCCTTTATAATGGCCATATGAAAATCAAAATGATTTTGAATTGGATTATCATATAATTTGTTGGAAAAAATTTTGCCACATAAGCAACATTTGATTCACACTTTATGTTCTAATAATAAGAATATAATTTTTGTTATAAATTCTATTTCATACAAGAAAGTATTTTAAAAAATTTCAAGACAATGTCCTAATCAGGCTTTTATTTCCATTGCATTATAAATTTGATCTCCATTTTAAATGAATTTACTTTATATGTACTTTTCTGGCTATCAACTAGAGTCTTTACTTACTTACCCTAACTTGAGTTTTTTATTTGAATTCTCATTGTTACTCATTTTAGATGATTTATGACATATTATTGTTTCTTTCATGAATTGACCCTTTAAAAATTCCTTTCTACAAAATGGGCTTTTGTAAATATCTAAAAAATACTTGGTATTGCTTTCACATAAATGGCATGTGTTCCTAGAAAAATTTCATTTAATCTGTGCAAAATACCTATAGTAGGTAGAGAGCACTATAAAATTTATCTTTGTACCTGGAAGTAAATGGATATGTATATTTTATTTTTAGTGTTTGGCACATATTGGTACATATGTTGAATGTCTCGTTAGATTTTTAAAATTAGATGTTTCAGTGTTTAAACTTGGAAAGTCTATATATAGTTACATGAATCATTTTTGCAAAATCATCATTGCATAATATGAAACCATATTTACCTAGAAGTTTTTAGCCCTTTGAGGAAGAACTAGTGTAAGAAATAATTTTTCAAGGATGATAACCCAGATTTTCCCATGTTTGTTACTTATGTACAAAAAAATAGTTCATGAGTGGATTACGTCTTCCCTGTCAGTTATAGTCCAATGGAGTAGACTTTCTTCAAATAAATTAACCTTTGCTTATAAAATTTAAAGTAAACTTTTGGTCTGACAGTTTCTCATCTGCAATTTCCTATTTAGGAAAATATCAAGTATCTACAGTACAATTAAAGTATATCTGCATAATGCCTCATAGCATACATTTTCAAATTCATGTTCTGCTACCTTTTTAATCATCAAAGGTTAAATTGTTGCATGCTTATAATGCAAGGTGATATACTTTAATTACTTCCTCTTAGTAATTTAAACATGTGATTCATGTGTATCAAAGACCTTTTTAAAGTATAAAGTGCTATATAGATATCAGGGGAGGGTGGGAATCATAGCAGTGATCCCAAACCATCCCATTCCCTATATTTAATACAGTTTACTGTGCAGTCTTTGAGAACAGATGAAATAATACTTGACCCAGAGTGCTCAAACCTAGCGAATCAGGGTTTTTAGGCTGTTTGTTGGTCTTAAGAGAAAACAGGTCCTATGGGAGACTTTGTGGAATTTGACTTACAATTGTACCATGTCCAAAAGGAGAGGGCATTATTGAACATATATAGTATCTCAAACACATTTTGGCTTAATTGGTCTTTTATTATTTATTTTTAACAGGCCTAGGAACCTGTCATTCATTTCCATTTTCATGTTGTTTTATTGTTTCATGTTAAAATTGTCTCATTGTGTTAAATAGCTCTTCCTCAACATTCTCCTTCTGTTCTGTTCTCCTCCGCTTCTCAAGTGAAGCCACTTGGTGGGAAGAGAAGTAGGCAACAATATACAACTGCTGCCCTTCTTCCTCTGCCCTTCAAGGTGCTTGATCTAGCACAGTGGCTCATATTTTTAGGATGACCATATATGTCAGATGTTCAGAACTTGTCAAGTGCCCATATTTAGAACTAAAACACATGAAAAAGCCTTTTTGTACACTTAAAGCAATGAACTTTTTCATTTTTTAATCACAGAAGTGATATCTTCCCTTATGTCAAACCACATAGAGGAATAGACAGTGTGACTTATAAATAAGAAAAATTTATTATTCAAAGATCTGGAGGCTGAAAGTCCAGGAATAAGACTCCATAGATGGTGCCTTCTTGCTGAGTCCTCGCCTGGTGGGAGGAGCAAGGAGGTCTCTCTTGGGCCTCTTTTATAAGAGCACTGAGCTCATTATTGAGGGCTCTCTGCTCTCATGACCTAATCATCTCCCAAAGGCCCCTTATAACATCAACACCTTGGGGATAAAGATTTCAGCAAAAACTTTGGACTAGGCATAGACATTCAGGCCATGGCATCTTCCACCCTACTCACTTGTGTTTATTTAACTATATACTCTGTATTTCTCTATATTTTTCCCTTTTATTAATAAAAATAGAATATTACTACATGTATTTCTCTGCAAATTTCTATTTTTCTCTTCATTATTCCAGTAACCTCTAGACTAGTAGAGATACATTTACCCTTGTACATATGTGCATACCTAAATTTAGGATAGTCTTGAAGGATTGTTGGGTCAAAAGAGACACATTTCACATTTAATAATATTTTAAAGCATTTAATATTATCACTTATTTGTATGGTTAAGAAATCTTAAGACTTTATTTTAAACACAATATGAGTTGGTTTATATGGAAATCAGTTATGTAATAGATAGGTAAATAAGAGGTAGTGTAGGAAACATAATTTTAATTTCTAATATTTGCCTTATTTTAAATGCAGTTTGAGAATTATTGAGTCCCTCATATTTGAGATAGTTATAAGTAAGAGTAACATAGGATTTATATTTGTCATACAACTATTCACACATTTATGGAATGAATAACTGAATATAAAGTAGAATTACATAAAGACTACAAGAGTTCTAGACTGAGAGCCTTCAAGGACAGGAACAATGTCTTGAGTTCTGCATCCCCAGTGTCTGGCCTACTGCCTAACATTTGTAGGACACATAATTTAGTTCTTTGTAGCAGGATTGTTAGAAGATTTTAAACATATATTTCGTTTTCATGACACTAAAAAGTGACTTTAACAGGAGCTTAGGAGGTACAGCATTATTCATTCATTTAACATAGATTTATTGAGTACTTCTTGTATACCCAGCACTTTTTAAGACACTGACAATAGATAAATTATGGAACAAATTCTTACTCTCATGGAATTTTCAAGATCATGATTTGTGGAGAGTGAAATTTTAAATTACTGTTTTGAAGAATCTACATGGCAGTTAGCTAGAGAAAAGTAATAGATTTGTTGCACTTTGTTTAGCAAGCATTTGGTGAAATGGCTGATGGTAGAACCAAACCATCTGCTTGTATAGGGGGTGTTCTCTTGCTTTAGTCAGTTGTTTGAGGTGTGAGTAAGGTGGATTTCTATATTTCATACAGGTTTAGATTTTTGCTGGGTGGATGCAATACAAGTACAGAGAAACTAAGAGGTTTAGGATATTGGCAAGAGAGTATTTAAATGGTAGGATGTGAAATCTGAACTGTTTGGGAGGCAAAGTAAGGAAGGAGTGGTGAGGATGGAGAGAAGCCAAAGGACCCATTGATGTTAAAGATGTTCTGCATGATTGAGTGAGCCAGCTGAGGATTGGAATATTGTGGTTGCTTATGAACACTTTAATCATGGAGAGTGATGATGATCTGTTGATGGTGACCAGGTCTGGTATATAAGGTGGAGGAGGCCGAGATAGAGCCAAGATCAGTAGCTAGGGTCTTTTTAAGAGGGAGGACAATATTTGAAATATAGTTTCTAGTTTCATTTGTACATATGAATGGACCAAAAAGTTATCTTAGTTTTAATGAAAGAGGGAAGTTCAGACTTAGGGATAAATAACAAGAGCAGCTGGATTCTCTAATTAAGCAATTATTCTATGCAACAAGAGAATTTAACTTAAAAGTTATATTCTAGTGAGATTGAAGGGAGGAAGAGGTCTGTCAATCATTTTCCTGAATTGGGTTGGGGGTTGAGGCACAGATGTCACAGATGTTTTTTCTTTCTTGTTGGCCCAAGAGAAAATGTTTCTTTATTCTCCACATCTAATTAGGGACAGGCATATGATAAAAGAATATAGGCAGTAAAAAAAAAAAAAAAAAACACACACACACACACACACAGAAAAGGGGCCTGGGGTTGTAGCACAGTGGTAGAGTACTTGTCTAGCATGTGGGGTGCACTTGGTTTGATCCTCAGCACCACATAAAAATAAATAAATAAAGGGTTAAAAACCCCACATAAATAGACATTCAACTTCTATTAGAAAACTGATAAATCAGTGATCATTTTTAGCCATTGGATTGCCAAAAAGTAAAAACATTAATACCTAGTGTTAAAGATTATATTAATACCCAATCTTGGAGACCAATGATGGTCAAACACTGTTAGAGTGAAAATTGACTTGATATTTGTGTTGATTGGTAAAACATTGTTAGTAAAATATTACATGAGTATGTGTTTGAATCAGCATTTTTACTTGCGAGAATTTACTCACCCCCCCCAAAAAAAACCCAAACCCATCTGTGAACAAGAACGTTCATCACAGCACTGTATATGAAGAATTGTTTTAATCTAAATGTTCATCAGAATTGGATTGTTTGAAATATGGTAGCAGCTAACATCGCTTGAGTCTTGAGTGCCATCACTTGAA